ATGATAATATTGTTCAAGCAAAGTTTTTTATTAGTAGCAAGTTCATAAAATCATTTTCTGTGAAAAACAAAATCTACAAAGACCTTGAGCATTGCTTTCCATTTTTCAGTTCTACTCCATTCAACAGCCATTATTGAATATCCGTTCAATGCCAGAGTCTATACTAAGAGCTATAACACAGGCACAAAAGAGTATAAAGAGTCATTCCTGAAGTTCAAGAATAAAGTACAAATTGCAGAGGTATGATATAAATATACTGAAGATTACATAACAGAGAGATTAATAGCAATGCTTCTTATGTAATTATAATTATTTTATTTTCATTGAGCTCTTCCCAGATAGTTCATCTACCTGACTATTATCAGAAATAATATTGGTAATGACTAGTGTCTATTAAACATTACTATTTGATAGACTCTATTTTATATTGTTCAATCCTTAGTACAGCTTTGTTATAGACATATTAGTAGTATCTCATTTTCAAACATGGAACATTGAGGACCATTGAGGTTTAACAACTTGATCAAGTCCACAAAACTAATAAGTTCAGAGGGTAGGTTTTGAGAATAGCTTTGTCTGGAAGAGAAGTCCATATTCCTTACCATTATTTACCCTTGGTAAGTCTATTCTTTTAAAGTTATCATTTTCATAAAATTTGTGAGATGGTAAAAATAGTGTTATGGAGATTCTTTCCAATAGCTGAAAGGAGAGTAACAATGAGTATTTGACATGATTGCATGGCCTTATCAAATATTGTAACACTTAATTTACACTCTTATATATTGCTCAAGTTCTTACCCAGATCTGCCAATATTAGCTAAACCCATGTTATTGACTCTCTTTCAGCATTTAAGTGATCCTGCCATCACTGTTTTCTATCATTTTATTAGTGGTCAGTGAACATTGCCACTCAGTTCTGCAGCAGAGTTTCCTTTTGAGCTACTTCAACATATTTGTTCATGGGGAGAAAGTGTGACTATGGATACTAGAAAAGAGAACACAGAGCCTTTAGATATTAGAAATTTATATTTATCTGCTGTAACTCTTTAAAAATCTTTTAGTTCCATGAGATCCCCTAGATGTAAGAGATTAGAGCAACAAATTTGGGGTTGAGAGATTTGTGATCATCTTTTGTTTCCTTTTATTTACATTATTTCTGTGTGTAGGCAATAGGGAGGTCAGAGATAAAGTGATTCACTTATTCACCATCATTATGATCCAGTAATTAACGTGGGTCTTCATACTGGTGGCTTTGTTCAAAATGGCCTTCATGCATGCATTCACAGCAGTAACATGGAATGATGTCCAGTGTACATACGATGAGGATATTTGTTGAGCTAACATTTAAGCAATACATGCCATTTTGCAATACCAGAGAGTAATAAAGAGAACAGATAATGAAAGAGACACAAACATCAGCTGTAACAACCAATCTCTTCAGTACCGAAATCTCTACAAAGGAGTAGGTATTGCTTCTCATGTGACTCCATAAAGGTAACAAAAGTGTTTCTAATTATAATTTAATGCACATGCTGAAATGAGAAGTGTATACATTTTATAAAACAATTAAATCTAATATAAATGTGTTAATATGTGAAAGCAAAGTTATTCTTAGTTGTAGTTTATTTTTTTCTTGTAGCTAAGGGTACTTGGAACTTCCTCTTCTGTATTATTTGATCCTCCTCTGTGTTCAGTATTGTTCTTGGATTGTACATACTATATGTACTAGAGTTCTTTATATTTATAGGTTATTTGCAGCTAATGTGTGGTACAAAAGCCTTATCAAGTGGAGCATCTTTATCAATTATTATCTAGAAAGATTTCTCCCTCTGATAAATGCTGCACAATTGCTAATAACATTGCTTCTTTGCTCATTAACCTTTTCTTGCCTGAGTGCTCTTTACCTGCATTCTTTCTTCTAAAACCATTTATATCTTCCTCCATCCTGGAATATATGAATGGGTTTTTACAGTTTTTGATAAGAAAAGTCACTTCTTAAATGGGGTTGGAGAAATATGAGCAGGAATGATGGATTTTTCTACTTATTCTAGGTAGAAGATTGATGATATAACCTCATTTACCAACATTTACCTTAGTGACCAGATAATTATTGTGTACAAGTTAAAAGATAAGTTATTTTATAATAAATGAATGAATTTTACTTTTGATCCCATATGATGTCACAACATATTTTGATCCCTCTGTAAGGGTGAAAGAAATTGAAGTTAAAGCGTAAAAGTTAAAGGGGTAAAAGACCGGGTGTTGTAAAAGTTTCTAAGCTGCAAGGTCTGAGTTAGCTGTTAAGACAATGCTTAGAACCGCCCAGTAAACATTTCCCCTGATTGTCTGGTTATTTAATAACTGAAGGGCTCTGTGTGGTTGCACACAGGCATTGCAGGGCCTGGACCAATCAGTTTAAATGTAACCCCCTCCTTAGGAATGACCTATCACTCCAGCCTGACCTGTTCCCGCCAATGAATGAACTAATCAGGTTTAGGAGTTGTTGTTCAATTTTCCCGTGCCCAATGATGATTTGTTCTGGTGTATACAAATCCCTCCGCCCTCCCCAAAAAGTGTACTTAAGCAGTGCTCAGCCCCTGCTCGGGGCTCTGGGCTGCTTTCCCTTCTTGAGTGGGCACGGAGCCCCAGCATGCTGGTTCAATAAATCCCCCTTCTGCCAATTGCATGAGTGGTCACTTGGTGGTCTCTTTCTCCGACATTTCTCGGGATCCTTACACCTCTTCTAAGAACTAGAAGAGGTAAAAATTCAATGGAACAGTGATTGAAGGAGGAGCTATAGTGGTGTAGTGCTCTCTAGGCAAATGCAATTTCAAGCAGATAGTGGCCTCAAAGCAATACATTCTGCAGCTGAGTTTCTACCTTTTTATTTTGCCTTCAGTATTCAGCTTTTTACTCTAAGACCCTGTCTCAAGAATATCCATAGTGACTCAAAGTTTTCATCTGATGCCAGATTTTAGGAATTTCAGACATTCCTTGCCTCTTCATTTCCATTTTGCTTCATTAAGATTCATGCTTCTAGGTGATTATTGGCAGCATGCTTATACCTAAGAATTGGGAGACCAGGTGTAAAGTATAAATGGACTGCAATATATTTTGTGTTTTATTTTTTGTTATAAGTGATTATTAAATTAAGTGTTTTATCATCCCACTTTGACAGGTATAAATTTATATCAATTTAGCCCAAGCACAACATTAGGATTTTTGACTCCTTAGGAATGCAGTGGTGTGGGGAGAAATGGGCCTCCAACTGATTCTTTTCAATCCAGTTTTGTTCCACACTGCAGGAGGTCTTTTTTGCAAGTGAATAGGAGTTCCCACCTAGCCACTGTCTGAATTCTCTATCTTTAGACATGTATAAAGACCACCCTTTCTTCTTAGATTTGTGCACCTTGGTGGCACAGACTACTTACTACTGGGGAGCCAGGAGGCAGAAGGTGATCTCAAAGGCCTTGGATAAAGGCTTGAAGAATCAGGAGGTTTGATGTATGATTAGGGAGAATGGAGTACAGACTCCATATAAGTGTTTTTCTTGACCCAGTAGACTGGTGGTGAAGGGTTTAGTCAGAGAAGGGCCAGAGTGCTCAAGAAATACATTGAAGTGTCATGATTTGATTCATATTTTAAGAGGATCCTTTCTAGCTTTGACTGAAAATACACCTTAAAAGGAAAAGAGTAGACACAGGTAGAACTATTGCAATAATCTTGATGAGGAACAGTAGTGGGTCGGGTGGTAATTGTGGATGAGAGTGGTACCGGATCTTTTTGAATGTGAAATAAATAGGATGGATCACATTTGCTTTATAAAAGAAGGTGAATGTTATGGCTAAAAATCAGAAAGGATGGATTGACTTCCAGTAAGCTGAGCAAGTCTGCTATAGGAATGGAGAGGGAAGATAGGAGTTCAGCTTTTGATAAGTGTATCTGAAAAGTCTCTTCAACATCCAAATGAGAATATTTACTAGACAATTGGATATATAAGTCTTCAGTTTAGGGGAGAGTGTAGTGATAAATGCTGGGACAGCATCAAACTTGAAACTGGGTAAGATCACCAAGGGAATGAGAAGAGATAGAGAAGAAAGAAAGGAAGGAAGGAAGGAAGGAAGGAAGGAGAAAAGACTGGACACTGGGACAACTGAATCAAAAAGGTTTAAAATAATGTGGTTGCTATTAAATAGTAAAAAGTACTTTAATACTCGTATTATTTTTATTTTAAAAGAATGTTTAACTTATGTACATAGCTGTTATGATGCTCTTGATCATTTTACTGAAAACTATAACTTAAGATGAAACTCAAAGCTTTTAGTTGTTATGTTTTGCTCTAAAATGTCTCACAACCCTTTAAATAATTAACTCATAGACAATTAAATTTAAATAGTAGATAGTAAAAATAAAAATTGTTGTTGTAATGAATTTAGAGGTAACAATCAGTTTTTAATACATGTTCTTTATAAATATGTTCCCTAGAGATGTGCAGGGCTAATGTTCTTTGATAAATAAAGCTCTAAACACCATTACAGTCATTGTTAATCTATCCCCAAATTTACAAACTAATGCAGCTTGGTTTACTTGTAATAAGCTTACCAATTTGCTTCTCTATGTAAAGTTTGATTGATGGTAATGTGTCCTTACCTCATTGTAGTCTGTCAATAGATGAGACCTTTATTCCTTTAACTCTTTTCAAATCTCAAGTATGAGGAATGTCTCATAAAACAAAATCCATTATTTTATTATAAGCTGATGCATAACTTTTTGAAAGAAATACCACTTATCCTTCAAATGAGATCCCAAGCCTTTATGATCTTGTATTTCATTATGAACATGAATATGGAACAGAATAAGAATGTGATATGGAAATTTGTATATTAAATTAAAAACTGAAAATTAGAATGAAGTTATTTATTTTTATCTAAATGACTGCATAGACACATTGACAAGTTAACTTTACTTTCTAACAGAGACTATTGTTTGTGTCTTTTCAGTCTATTCGAGAAGTCACAGGCTATGTGTTAGTGGCTCTTAACCAGTTTCGTTACCTGCCTCTGGAGAATTTACGCATCATCCGTGGAACAAAACTTTATGAAGATCGGTATGCTTTGGCAATATTTCTAAACTACAGAAAAGATGGAAACTTTGGACTACAAGAACTTGGATTAAAGAACTTGACAGGTAAGAAAAACATCAGAAATAGCAAATGTACTTTCATTATCAATGTAATGTGGTTACTGTAGTATGTGTTAGAAAGAATTACACTGCAGAGCATTTAAACATAGACTATTTATTCATTTTTTGCGTAATGATGCCCTGTGATTCCCTTGCTTTTATTTACAGATTTTGTAAGTGCAGTTTGAAAGATACCATAGTACCATATCTCAGCAGAACAGAAGTGCACTCTAAGGAAATGCTCAGTGACTGAAAACCCAGATATGAAGCAGGTTTAAGAATGTTTTTGGGTGGTCGCAGATGAACAGTAGACCATATCATCAAATCTGTGCAATAACACCACAGCTCTCAGTCTTGTCAGAGCTCAGGAATACCCAAGCCATTATATCTAGTTCAACTATTCTTTCATGGTTTGCACAATCACCTTATTTTTGAAAACTTAGCTAATTTGTTCAATTTCTATTTTTCTTATTCGTAGCTCATTAAATGCTATCAGTAATTTTTTCTTAGAATATTTCAAAAAAATATTTAAATTTTTTTTTATGTCATATAAGTTTAGGACTAATGGACTTGACCTAATTGCACACTAAGTAAAAACTCTGCTTATTATTAAGATATCTGACTGAACTAATGTACCACAATGTATTAAATGTTTTAGCTCATTCTTAAAGAAAGAGCATCATCTGGGAACTTGTTAGAAATGTAAATTCTTGGCCTTTGCATGAAATCTACTGAATGATAGGTCTGGGAATAGGACCCAGCAATGGGTGTTTTAAATATCCATCTAGAAATTCTGATCACTAATGTTTGAGTGAGAAACATTATTCTAATTAAAATTATGTTACCAAAATGGTAGAACAATATCTAGTTAACCTCTTTATACTTACTGGATACAAATAATTTTCATTTATTTTTCATTTTGTAGAGAGAAAGGAGTGGAATAGGCATGCTTTTATTTGAATGGCAAGAAATATACCCTAGATTGGTGTCAGAAGAATGGCACATTGAGAACCTGGAAGGAAACATGTATAAAATGACTCAAGAGGTGTTGGAGATGCTATAATATACATTTGTATCATCATTTTGCCCAATATCAACTTAGTGTACTAATAAACCATTACACAGACAATAATCATTCAAGCTGAATGATTTTATTTTTAAACACTCGCAGCAAGATAAATAACAAGTAGTAGCTGTGAAGATGAGAAGTAGGTAGAGTATTGTAACAAATAATTTTGAGATCAGGATTTCAGAGTTTTGCGTGTATATGTATGTGTGTGGTTATAGTTTGTATTTCTCCTAAAATTGTTTTGCTCTGTTGGCATTAGAGCAGAATATCTTTAGAATAGCATACTTGCTTCCAGCATACTCTCTTTTATCTTTGTAGAAAGTAGATGTGCAGTTAAGGAGAGGGCTGCCATTTACAGTGGATGACAGTTGAATGCTCTTTAGACATATGTAAATTAACTCCCCTGTTTAACATTACTATTAATGAGCTTGATGTTCACCAAGTGCTATTCCATGTACTAAAGACATAATAAACTATCTTATTTAGATATGCTTTTACATTTACTTTACAAGGATACTCAATTTTTTTTTTCTGGTGAAACAAAACAAAATAACAACTTGTTTTGCTGCTGCCACTGACCTTCCCCTGGTCCATTACAGGTGAGGTGAGGTGAGGTAGAGTGGAGAAGAGGTAGGTTTCTAGAATAAAAATAGACCACTATTCTAAAAGAGAATGAGGAACTTGTCCTGCCATTTTCTAGGTTTCCATTAACACTAGGTGTCCCCAGAAGGAAGGTATATGTTTGTCAGTGTGTCCCCTATGGACATAACCATCTCTACCTTTAGGCTACTAGGAGTGTTCCTACTATAGCTCTACTAGTTCAACTAGTCCAGAACTAGAGAGGAACACATAATGCCTCTATGAAGTTCCCTTGCAAGTAGGTGTGGTTCTAATTAGTCACTCCCAAGGATGATGTCTTCTGATTATTTTATCATGTCCTTCTTAATCAAACATTCCAACTTAAAATCTAAATCAATGCTTTATATTAAATTTCCACCTTAAGTCTATAAACTTCTACTCATTTAGTCCTCAGTCTGGCCAAACTCTAAAAGGAGATTCATTTTATAGGACATAAAAGCCACTATTTTCTCTCTTCTATAATTTATAAAATTACTTCATCTATTACTAATGCTAAATAATATCATTTAAATTCATGTATGTTATATTTTATATATGGAAGAATTTTTGAGTTACCTAAATTCTTATCTATTTCTTAATATCCCATTTATAATAACCTAGGTATAAATTTAATACATGTATAGGTATATTTATCATACCAAGTTTTACCTTTATAAATTAGGAGAATGTCTCTTTTGAGTAGTAAAATTTAGGATGACACAATTTTTTTGCACCTTCCAAAAATTAGCTAAATATTCTACATAATTTTAGATCAACACATTCATGTGTTTTTGTATTTGTTTAATGTTTTGGGAAATTCCAATTGGGTAAATGTGTACTGGATCATCTCAAGTATATCATTATTTAAGATGTGGACAAATGCAAATTTTAAACAAAAAGTAAATAGTTGAAGTTATTTGGGGGAGCCCTGAATAATAATATAAATGATATATTAAGCTTGCTGGAATCAGGTAGACAAAAACTAAAATAAAAAAATAAATTTCTCATGTCTAGGAGATACAACATCTGAATGTTATAAACTTTGAAAGATATAAGATCTGAATACTATACTTGACTGCCTGCCTTCAAATATGCATGATTAGAATAGTCATTAAAATAATTCAGCACCTTTTAATATATAAGGTCATCAAACTTCCTTGACATCATTCTGTAATGGTCAAATATGTAATCTAATATCAAAATGGACAAGGCACCTGCAATTCATTGTATGTCAAACAACAAGGATATGGTATCAGAAAATTTTCTGTCTAAAAGTGTGGTCTGTCACTTACAGTGTGGGTAACTCTGATGCTCAAGATTTATTTTATCTTGAAATTTCTGAAGAAAAATTCTGTCACAGTGTTGTAACAGGCAGTAGAGAAATGAAGTAGGGAACTGTCACCTACAGCACCTGTCACATAGATGATGCTCAGAAATCTTAGTTCTCTCTCATTATGTCTATTTTGTTTTTTAGCTTTCCTTTGTGTCAACACTTGGATGAAACTATCATGCTTGTTTCTACATATTCAAATATACTCTCTATTGCTTCATTGGAGTTTTTAGATGTGACTTGTTTAGACAAAAAGATGCTCCAATTTTTACTGCCTCTTCTAATGGTATTTTGAAATTACTTTCTGTATAAGATCTGCTTCTCTGGCAGTGAGAAGCCTGAGGCTGGTCTTCATCCACTGTGCTGCCTTGACTACCTCATAGCCCTCCTCTCCTCCCTCCTTGCCCCAGCCCTTCATTTCAAATCTCCATCATTACTTTCACTCTTCATTGCCCCTGACATTGTCTTGACCTAGACAAAAGATTCATTCATTCTGAGTTCTTTTTTCTGATGCTGAAGTTGCTAAGCATTCTTCAATGGCTTTGTAAAAGGTCTTAGTACTGTTTGAATGGGTTCAGCCAGGTTAGTTCAGGGATTGTTGTTAGATAGAATGTTTGACATTCTATTTGCATTAGAAGAACTACTTGGCATGTTGTGATATTTGAGGAAAAAAATCCCAAGAATTCTCCAAGCTTAAGGAGAGATTACTTGGAAAATGATTTGATGAAAACCAATTTATAGTGAATATTGTATGATCACACAAAATAGGTGAAAAGAGTGGCACTTTTTTATTTAGAAGTCAGTTTTTAGATTGGGTACATAATTTCCAGAAATCATATTTTAATTAGTGTTTCTTTTTTTTTCTTTTTAATACTGTTGACTTGTCATGTGAGACAGTGTATATTGGTTAGCAAAAGAAAAATCAGGATGGTGTATTTGTGTCTGTAGATAAGGCAGAAACATATTTTTGTTAAAGAGGAAATTTTACAATTATGCGATCGATCAAAGAGTTATCACGGCCATTTCAGCAAGTTTTTCTGGCACTTCTCAACTTCATGGAACTGATGAGTATTGTATGGAACTGAATGAAGGAAGGAATGAGAATTTCTCTATCTACTGTAGAAAAGAGACTACATGGAGAAATAAACCTTGGGTTGGGGGTATTTGGGGGGCGGTTCCAAAGAGCAAATTCATCCTCTACTTTGGGATCAATTTTCATTTTCAGTTGTGATAACTGAGGTCTTCTACTCAGGCTGTACTACACATCCCCCTTGACCTCTGTCCCACCCAGGGATTCTGAAGAGCCTGACTCTCAGAAGGATATTCCATTAAACACCTATAGTAGTCCGCAGGGGGGCGGGAAATTATGGAAGCCTAATGTTATGGGAGTCTCTTAAGACAATTCCTTACTTGGGATCTTTGTGATTATTATAAACCTTGTAATTATTATTTCATGTTCCCAGGATATAGTAAGATCTACACGTTCCTTTTCCTAAGAGAAGAAGAATATATAGTCTGAGGAAAGAAAAATTTTAAGGTCAACCCACTCCCTTATCACAGTCCATTTATTGAGAAAGCCTGCTTGTTAGCTTATAGTGCTTAGAAAATGGAGGAGAACCTTTGCATCTCAGAATTCCAACTGCAATATAAGAAAATTATTAGTTATCACTGTTTATCACTATGGCTCTGCAATTTATCTCTGAGGAAATCAGTAAATATATCAAAATTCTGTGTGTTCATCCTCATCCCAAGGCATTAGTTTTTTCTGACTTGAAGACACTGAGCTATAAATTAGAACTAACAAATTTCTAGCATCCAGTAAAAGTCACCAAGGGAGGAATAGCAATGTTGGGACCAGATTCATTAGATCCTTGCACATTCTGATTTGATGAAAGAAGAATGAAACAGTATGAATAATACTTAAATATAAAATATAAAAACTGAATCTGTATTTTAGACAGAATGAAGACTGCCTGGAATTTTTGCCAG